CTTGCCCCCTTTTATGCGACTGGGGACGTTAAAATTCAATGCGTCCACGAATTCCTCTTGACGAAAAGTGTAAAGTGCAATACAACAGATATTGATAACGAGTGACAAATAAAACGCGTTGCACTACGTGCTGCTACCTGGTTGTACTAAAATTCAGAATAGAATTGACGTGTGAGATCGTTCAGCGTAGTGTATGATATTCTCATCTAAGACGAGACTATAATGTTGTGCAACATTGTCGATCATTTACTTACTTTCAACCAAGAGGTTTCTTACCAAGTTGGTACCTCACATCATGCACCACGTAAACTGCATTCAACGCGTTGCACTATGTGCTGCTACCAAGTTGTATTAAAATTCAGAATAGAATTGACGTGTGAAATCGTTCAGCGTAGTGTATGATATTCTCATTTAAGACGAGACTATAATGTTGTGCAACATTGTCGATTATTTACTTACTTTCAACCAAGAGATTCTTACCGAGTTGGTATAACATGCAGTATATATTTTTCCAATCGATAAAATTCTTCCAGCATTTTAAACAGTCGTCTGTTGCGTTTATTGGTAATTATAATCGTCCATAGCGGTATCCTTTTGATTTCAATGTGTGTATCGGTGACGGTAGAAGTGATCGAACAAATGGACCTGGCCAAGACTTCTTTTCCACTGAAAAATCATTGTAACATTTGACTAGAGAAGAGACTAGAGAATACTTTAAAGTATCAAAGATCGCGCGTGGTAGTTGATTTTAAACGTCTGGTGCGCCGCCCTTGGCTAGATTACTCTTTATCCTGCAGTTTACTCGTAAATATCCACCTTTTCATCTCAGACGTTGCCTTTAGTCAATGCGCACCGCGAGAAAGAGACCCACCCTTTAACTAACCCAAGAGCTTGTACTCTCCTAATTCTTCCGCGAGATGAAAAGATTTCCAACTGTTTCTTCGCGGACCCGTAGCTTTGTAACTGGCTACTGCTGCACAAAAAGATTACTCGTCATTTTATCCCTTTACTTGGCACGTTGGTGGTTATTCAGTTGGGGCAACTGCTGGCAATGGAAGGAGATATAACACTCGTCGCCGATTTGTTTTCCAGGCTTTTAACGTGATCGTGGTCTCTGTTTTATAGTTCCATCAAACTTTGTTGACCTACATACAAGACAGAGTATGGGACTTTAATTTCTACGTAGCTAATAACTGGCCCGACGACGCGATCTGCTTACACTTCCCCGGAATGACGTTATCGGTGAGTATAAAATACATCTGATTGTAAATCTAAAGGTGTGCGGACATGAAATCACGAGGCACCTTTGTGCATTTTAATTCGTGCCATGTTAGAGAAAACATTTTATTAATAATTCATTAAATATCTCGGCAATAATAAACAAACGATAGCTATATCATCCTTTCATTTATATATATGCGTAACGATCTTTATTTTTAACAGTATATCCACTGCATAATTGTCATTTAACTTTAATCTCGAAGAGATTTAAACAATTAAATTAGAGTGTACGTATTTTTATGTATTTACGAAAAAAATTCAGAATATAATTTATATATTATGCAAACATGAGAAAAATATATATATATATATCTGTGATACAATTCATCACTCTGACATCGTCGTACCTTCTATTTTTGCATGACAATAATTTATGAATCATTTCTGCAAAGAGATTATTTGACGGTCAAATTGAATTCTAATTAAAAAAAAAAAAAAAAAAA